TTTTTTCTGCTCTTTGGCGAACAAAAGTAGGGATTTCGGTTGGGTAAATAGAAGCCGGTACGCTCGGGTGCACGTCCGGTTTTTCTACGCGTCTGTGAAACGATCTCTTCGTGTGTAACACCCTGGCTGAAAATAAGCGGCGAATCGGGTTGTTTGAGTGACTTTTGCCGGTCGGTTCAGAGGCAAATATTTTAAGAGCTTTAAGCGGCGAAGAACACTCGAGTTGTTTCGGTGGGTGGACCGCCGTTTCTTTTTACCCGCGACTGTTAGTTTGGCTTTCCGGTCTTTTAAACGGCCGGTTTTTCGTATCGGTTATTTATAGAGCGCGCGAGGACAAAGCGTACTCCACGCGACGGATCCGGCACTTTCGATTGCCCGGATGGGTTGGAACGATCAATTTTTCAATGAAAATGACAAAGAGATCGTGGGAAAGAAGAACGTTATAAGAACATTTTTGACATTCTCATTATTGAACAGAAAAATTCCAATGTAACATTAAAAATCCGAGGATCTCGAAAATAATTGATCGGAAAAAAATTGAATTTTATGGCAGTCGAGCGCGTAGTTGTTAACATACACGCAATATTGATTGAATCGAATCGAGAAGAGCAAAACGGCACTTTTATCTCCGGAACCAAATATAAAGACAATTTCAAAGTTGATCGACAGCATAGTCAATTTAAAAACTGATCTTTTCTGTAAAAAAATAAAAATAAAATAAATAAGAAACATGATTTATCTCTGTAATGGAACTCCAATTTTCTGAATTTCGACAAAGCTGAAAAAGCATTTTTTTTGTCTCGAAAATTGAGTAGAAAGACAATTTCAAAGTTGACAGCATAGTCAATCTAAAAACTGATTTTTTTGTAAAAAGAGAAAAATAAAACAAATAAGAAACATGATTTATCTCTGTAATGGAACTCCAATTTTCTGAATTTCGACAGAGCTGAAAAAGCATTTTTTTTATCTCGAAAATTAAGTATAAAGACAATTTCAAAGCTGATCGACAGCATAGTCAATCTAAAAACTGATCTTCTTTGTAAAAAAGAAAAAGAAAAAGAAAACAAACATGATTTATTTCTGCAATGGAATTTTAATAAAGAAGAAAAACCATTTTTATCATCAAAATGTAAAGACAATTTGACACAAGAATTGCACAACCAATCTTGAAACTGATTCTCCATGGAGAAATAAAAAAAAAAATATGTTCTTGTCACGTTCTTTCCTCGTAATGCAATTAAATTAGTTAATAGTAACTCGTTGCCACGCACAGTGACGGGATGAAACAGTCAAGTCAGGCTTATCAAATTCCAGTCACGACATAACAACGGTAGTGGTAATTCGTTAAACGTTTGAAAGTCCATTAGCCTTTACCGCGCGAAAGGGTTGAATTCTGTGTAATCTTTAATTGACGTCGCGTCGACGTTGCTTAATGCGGTGCAACTGCGCCGTTCGCAGCTGTGACAAATCGCATTTCTTCGGCCAACTCGGCCGTGAATTCGGTTAGCCGCGTTTTTTGACGGGGTTGAGACGCGCGTTGATTTTTGTTGAATCCCCTCAAACCCTTCACGGTTGCATTCGTTAGACGTAACCGTAATAGAATAAGTCTCGCAGTTTCGCGTGAAAATACTTCCAACCGTGGTTTTCGTTTCTACTTTTTGAAATCAATGTAGCTCGTTAGCTTCTAGTTAAATTCCCTCTCCTTTCTTTTTTTTTTTTTTTCTGTCGTTAATGTTCTTTCAATTTCCAACTGAATAAAAAAAGCAACGCGCGATGATTATCACGAACACGTCCCGACAAAGCGTGTTCATTAAATCTAGAATTCATTTCTCTGCCTCTTGATTATATTTTTCTACATTTTCTTCTTTTTTTTTTTTCTAACTGTGGACATAGAATGAGTTGTATGATCGCTATAGGAGTTGCTTATTTAACCTCTCAGAATTATACATTGATCAGTTTTACTTTTTGTTAATTTTCTAATTACAATCTTATTGGAGAGAAAGAGCTCGCTGTGTCGATATAAAAGTCACGAAAATTCACAGGTGAACTCAGGCCTGAGACGAACGAATTTACCTCGCCCTAAAATTGTCCCCAATAATTCCATTAATTGGCTGTCTTAACCTTCCGTCCAACTGACTGCTCCGTTTTATCGGTGTCGCGGATAGCAGTTCATTCGAAATGCAGTCACGTTTAATCGAATGATCTCGGCGAACGTTGTCGCGGCGGCCGCGATTCAACTGAGAATTTTCACCCTGTTCTCTCTTTCTCCGGCGGTCGAACGTTTTGCAGCTCTGTGCCCCGGGGTTGGGAGGGAGAGAAAAGTGCGCGCAGATTCCTGCCGAACCCTTTAACCCTTCATGTTGTATTCATTAGACGTAATTGATTTTCTCGATAGGGTGTAGCGCAGGATTTCCATATTAAATTGGAACGTGCGGCAGGCGACGGCGAATGCTCGCTCGCGTCGATACGCGACGATTATTCCGAAATTAACGACGTTTCGCGCGGCGTGTCGCGCCTCCGTCGCCGGTAATTCTAACGACTTAACCCTTTTGTCCTGCGCCTGTTCGTTTAGGATCAATTGTCGCGACTGTACGGTCCAAGTCTGGAAATTCATTCCGATACCGCGGCTGTTAATTTTCTTGCGACAGACGGAGGATATTGGAGCCTGCAGTTGTGAAAAAAATGTGTGCACCGTGTGTATACTGGGTGTCCCGTTTGAAACGTTTTTCGAGCAATTATCTTCTGAAAGTCAGAGCTTCTCAAAGTGTGGATCGCGTAATTAAATTTGAAAATAAAGAAACGATCGTTCTGTGGCAGAACGTTTCGATGATAATAAATTATAATACGTTTAGTGTAGTAAATTTATTATGTCAGTTTTATTATATAATTTTATTATATAAGAAATTTATTTTTGTCAGAATTGGTCGTCACAGTTTTGATTGTTTCTAGAGTTGAAGTGCATTGTAGAATCTGAGATTTTGATTGATAAAAGTTGATAAGATACGTCTCATCGCGATTCTACTTCATAATATGTGATACATCGTTTTTCTGAAAATGGTGACTTTTATTATTTGGCTGGAATTTGATCGAACACAGTCCACCTGATCGTTCAGATACAATTTATAACAATTAGTTGCATTTACTCTTCACACTATCGGTTTCACAACTCGGGAAATACAGCTTCAGAAAGTCTGGTGAAATCTTCTTTCTCGCGTTTCTCGCTCGCTCCACCTTTCGAGTATATCTTTTTTCGTTTCACTTTCACAAAGTAGGCACTTGCATATTCAACGTATATCTCTGGGAGGTGTCGTTGCAAATCTCATTTGCATGCGATCGATCAGTTAACTCGTTTTAGCGTCAGTGGCTGTTTAACCACTTGCGGCTGATTGCGGACCATAACGAGTGACCGAACCGTATACAATAATTCGTCGCTTTCTTTTTGAACTCGTCGGTATCATATCACCGAATAGAAATTATCGAGAAGTAATTTAACAAGTTTATTATTTGTTTTGCCTAAGGTTATACTTAAATATACTTAAATATACTTAAAACTGAGGAAATATTGCATATTTGGGACGAAAAATACGCGACAGCGCTTCCTCGATGTAGCTGCTATAAATAAATTAGAAACTGACTGATCTGTGGTTTAGATTTGTAATCGAAAAGAAAATAATTGGAAGAGGAAGCCTCGATACGACATGACGCTATAACGACGAGTGCATTGTAAATAAATTGAGCTGTGCCACTGTTCGACACAAAATCTGAACAGCGCGATCGCACCGGTAAATTTGAACTTTAGCTCCTCCGAATTCTTTCGTTCGTTGCTATTTATCAACAACGAGTACGATAGAGAAATTAGGGAGGGGGGGGGGGGGCTCTCTCGAATACTTTGGCGCGATCCTCTCTGTACAGAACAATTTCGTTTGATGCCAATAATGGGGTGACTCTTAATTAAGGGATATGGTCGGACGAAAAATTTCATTTCGGCGTGTTTAGAGGCACCCCGACGAGCGATGATATTAAGTTCCACGTATGTACGACCGTATTAAAAGAGTTGTTCGTTTTTTCCCCGAGGAAGGTTATTTAGAGCACGATAATTACGCAGCGGAACGATGAATTACGTTTCTCGGTGTTGAGATTAATTAACTTTCATCGGGTTATCTACGAAAAATCTACACGGGGAAAAATGTTTTAAATTCACTTTTTCTTTTTTTTTTTTTCTGTTGAAGTCTGGGTCACGTTGATCTTAATTTTAGTTAAATGATGGAAGTAAATTGAACTAACTTAACTTCTAATCTGACCTATTTTTGTTATTAATATTTTACCAATACTTTTGGTGAATTTTGAAAATTTATTTTGTAGTCTGGATCACGTTGATCTTAATTTTAGTTAAATGATGGAAGTAAATTGAACTAACTTAACTTCTAATCTGACCTATTTTTATTATTAATATTTTACCAATACTTTTGGTGAATTTTGAAAATTTATTTTGTAGTCTGGATCACGTTGATCTTAATTTTAGTTAAATGATGGAAGTAAATTGAACTAACTTAACTTCTAATCTGACCTATTTTTATTATTAATATTTCACCAGTACTTTTGGTGAATTTTGTACATTGATAATGATGAAAATAATATATTCTATCTTTTTACGCATTTCTACGAATTGAAGAACGATGTTAAAACATTTGATGCTGCAACGTTTAATTTTCATTTCCCAATCTCTTCAAGAAAAACTGCTCTCGTGATTCAGATCAGGAGAATTAATTTCTTGCTTTTTTGTTTTACTTGAATAAAATTGAGAAAGATCACTGGGACTGTGAGCATTATCTTGATTCTGCTTCGCTGGAGCTTCGTTTATAATACGACACGTACGGGCGCGAATTAGGATAATACTCGGACTGGAAACTCGTGCTCGCGCAACTCGCCGGGACGGTCTCGTTTCTT